AACACCAATAGTATGAAATAAGCTGATTGATGATTTTCTTGACAAAATTGGTTTTCTTAAGTATATGTCCGAACATGGAGACCAGATTGCACTTCATCCGCGAGCAAGTTTCAAATTTTCTTGACAAAATTGGTTTTCTTAAGTATATGTCCGAACATGGAGACCATATTGCACTTCATCCGCGAGCAAGTTTCAAATGGAAAACTAGAGGTTGAGCATTGTAGGTCTAAGATACAACTTTGTGACATTTTGACAAAAGCTTTGAAGTTTGAAAGATTCAAAAATCTTAGAGAGCAAGTTGATGTTGTTAATATATCTCTTTTGGTTTGAGGAGGAGTGTTAGTTAGTTAAACCAAATTTGTCTATATTAGATGTTTCTGTTTTTTCTTCTGTTATTATTAGTTATATCATTGTCTTATATAAATACATTCTTTGTCATCCAATAAATATATTGAGGCATTACACAGATTACAAACACTGTTGTCTTTGAGTTGTCTATTTTCTTGTTTCTGTGTGATTAACCAATGTATTATTACATTAGAGTTAACAGTTTCCACCAAGCTTGCACAATGAGAAACCTAACAAGGTGTGTTGTCTCCATAAGTCCCTTTATGGACTTGAACAAGCTAGTTGACAATGGTATTAAAAGTTCTCCCATTTTCTTAAAATACGTGGTTTTATTCAGGCATCTGCCAACTGTTCTTTATTTCTAAAATTCACTCCTTCTAGCACAACTGCTTTGCTTATTTATGTTGATGATATCATTTTAACTAAAAATAAAAAGGATGAAATGAGATTCAATACTAATTTAGTCGATGATGCTTTTAAAATAAAGAACATGGAAAATCTTATCTACTTTCTTGACCCTACAACAACAATAGACATTAAATCCACCTTTGTCAAAGAAAATATGTTTTAGATTTGTTATGTGATGCCAAAATGCTTCGTTTTGCTCATATTTCTACACCAATTTATACACGTATATTCTCTGATTTTGGTGAATCATTCATTGATTTTACTCTTTATCGAAAACTCATTAGATGACTTATATATCTCACTCATACTAGACTGAATATTAATCATGTTGTTCATTATCTTAGCCAATTTGTAATTTCTCCTATTACTGCTCACCATCAAGACTCTCTTCGAATTTTATGTTATTTAAAACAAAGCGTGAGAAAAATATATATTTCTTGTTCTAATAGTGATTTACACCTCAAAGTCTTTAGTGATTTTGATTGGATTGAATGTCGAGACTATTTGTGGCTCTATTATCGAATATATTGTATATTATATTTCGGACAATCATCATCTCTTAGCGTTCAAAGAAACAAAGTTATTAGACTTTAATGTTCATGACATATGAAATTCAATTAATACATTATTTAAAATTACCTCATCTGAAATTCAATAATTATATATAAAATTATTTTTTAACTTTGACATGATTTATCAAGATTTTTTAAAAATTAAGTTAACTTTCTAACTTATTTTAAAAAATAATTTTTTTAAAATAAAAAATAAAACTAAATCAAATAAATCATATATTTATTTTTCTTTATTTATTTTCCAGTTATATAACCTGTATTATGTTATTTAAATTAAAAGGATATATTATTTTAAAATAAAAAAATATATTTTTTATTTTCACTAATTTTTTTAATATAATAATTTAAAATAGAATTGTGTTCAAAATTATTAAATTATAAAAAATGTACAAGAATGAAAAAAAAATCTCTCACTGAGTTATTTCTTTATTTAAATACTATAATATATGATATTTTAATTTATAAAATTAAACTAACAGAAAAGTTAATAATACTATTAAATAGAACTAATTAGGCGCAATTACAGTTGTTAAGGGATAAAAGTGCAATTAACTAATACAACCATATAAATATACCATAAATCAAAATAACTTATAAACTCAAATATTCTTGAAAACATAGTATATAATTAATAAGTGAAGAGATGAAATATCTATCAATCACATCAAGGTCACAATCAATTATCTACACAAGTGTCAAGTGTATAATCTTACATCATACTCAACCAAGAACAAGAATGCAATAAACAAAATTAAAAAGAAGAAAGAGAGATGAGAGAAGAATGAAAATGCAATAAAAGTATTTGAGAGAAAAAAAAAACAAAAAAAAAAAGGAGAGAGAGGGAGAGGGGCATGGTGCAGGAAGAAACACGCATGAATGGGACAGTATGAAACACTAAAAAATGTCTGACCGGAAATTGAAATGGTTGGCATGGGTGGTGGGAGTGATGTTGTGGACTGAAAAGGGAAGGGAAACCCTAGGGGAGACGACAGCATCATGAGAGGCATTGATTGAGGACAGATTATATTCCATGCACGTATTCTTTCTCTGTTTAAGATTCTCTGACGTACTAAAGATTCATGCAATACCAATTCATTCATCCACACATTACCAAATATCCTCACTCACTTCTTTACTAACTTCATTGCTAATCCAATTCATACCCTTCCATCCCACCTACCATCCTACTTTATCCTACTTGCATGCCTATATCCACCTTATTGCATGCTTCATCGCCTGTTACTACATTCTTAACCATCTTTTTAAAAATACTATATAACACCCTATATTTTGAAAGTAAGGGATGATAAAAAAAAAGTCTAGAAATAAATAGAAAGAATTTTTCTTCTTCACAAAAATTTGTAAATAAATGTTTTTTTTTTCTACTTCTTATGTATTTTTTATATATAAAAAAACATAAAATAAGGAGTATATTTTCAAAATCACCTTTTTCAATTTTCCTAAAATAAATTTACGAACAATTTTATGAGACTATACAACTACTTTATAATTAATTTATTATTTTTTAAAATGATATTTTTTTCTTATCATTTTATTTTTAAATAAATAAACATTTTTTACTATTTTTGCTTTTTTTTTCTTACAACCGATCGCTTAAAGGATATTAGAAGCAACTTACCCTTATAACCCCCATAAAAGACATTTTTCTTTGTTTCTGAACAAATAAAATGTTAACTTTTATACATTTAAAATATTAAATATGTTTGTTGAGAAAAAAATACAAACCAGTAAAAATTTATGTATACAACCTTTTATAAATTATTATAAACCAGTGAAATTTACATAATTAGTCACGAAATCGTTAATGAGTGGAGTTTAATTTAAGTATTTTTTTTTCCTATGGTCTTCTCTTTCCACCCATCATCACACAAATCACCAAGTTCGGACATATCTTAATTAATTATTTTATTGAAAAAAAGAGAGTCTCTAATATTTTTATTTATCATTATTAAACTAAATATCAAACTATTTTCAATAAGTTAGATCCAGAAACTCTAATATAAACCATAACTTTCATAATCTAAAACACAAGAAATTATGATTCCTTCCCAAAAACATTTTTTCATAAATAATATGAATAGTCGGCTTGTCATGAAGAGCATTTTGACTTCTGAAATTATTGCTCATATTTATTTTTAATTTAGGAAAACAAATACAATCCTTGAATTGTTATAAATTGTTTGAGTGCTTTTATCTAATGTTATCTTATGTAGAAGTTAATTTATAGTTTTGTTTAATATATTTGTACGGTTAAGACTCGAGATAAAATGTAGTTTATTTATTCTTATTTTTTTAATAAGATATTTTTGTTTTTAATATACTAAAATATTTTTTTAAGGATAACTGTGATGTACTAAAATACAAAATAAGATATTTTTAAAGTTCTATTATCACATTTGATATATTGTCTATTTTAAAACTCTAATGAATCACAATTTTATTTTTAAAAAACGTCTCAATGCTAAGTGAGATCAAAACATATCTTCAAGTGAGAACTAAGGAGTACGAATAAATTGAATTTCTATTTTTATCCCACGATAAACACTAGATATTCTTGAAAAAAAATTATAATAATAAATAAACTTGACAACATTGGTTAACGAACTTAAATAGATTAGTTGGAATGAATTACTTAAGTTAATATAAGAAAAAGGATAATAAAAATAATAAGAAAGTCTCTCAATAAAAATAAAATTAAAAAGTTAATATTTATAATTTTTTTAAATATTTAAAATAATAAATGTCAAATAATAACCCTTTAAATATAATATTATATATAATCAAATAATTAGATACACATAATACACATTTAAATAAATTAATTAAAAGAATATTCTTATTTAATAAATATAATAAATCTAAAAATCTAAAGAGTTTCAATATTAATGTTGATAGAATATTTTGTTTATCCTACCATCACTTGATAAATCATACATGCTTATTTAAATATAATTTAAATCAAAATTAAACAAAAACATTTATAAAAATAAATAAAAATTAACTATAAATAAAAAAGACTAAAAGTATATTTAAAACAAGGTAGTAATTCAAACATACATATATTACTAACTATAAAAGTATTAGTTCCTCAAAATTGAAGACTACACTGCTTTCAAAGAATTATCTCTCAACAAATATATGTGAAAAGAAAAGGCATATATAGAGCAATATTATCATTCAAAATATCATGCTTCATAATATAAATATATAGCATATCATTTATATAATTAAACCAATAAATTTAATCCTATAAACTTAAAATTTATTATGTTATCTTACATAAATGAGATATTTATTAACTCGATTTTTATTGAATAAATTAATAATAGAAAAATTGTGAATTAATTATATAAAAAAATATAATATTATTTTTAACTCAAAATTTGAAGATATTTTTTTTATAAGTTATTAAAAAAAATTGAGATTTAGATTATTTTGTATATACTTGACTTGTTTACTTGAATGTTTTAAAATAAAAAATATAGATTAAAATGCACGCCGTATAAAAACTACCGCAATGACGTAATTTTTGAAATATAAAGATAAAAGTATTGGAAAAAATTGTTTTAGTAGAGATAATATTAGGTGTAAAGTAGAAATTAGGTAAAAGAGGCATGATGTAGAAAAGTAGGGTTGTTTTGTAAAATGAAGATGGTGAAGAAAAGCAGGCATTTGAAAGGCAGACATATGGTTGTGGTGGTGGAGGAGAGGAATGGAGAAAGTCAAGAATGAGAATCATGATTGATGACCAAAGTAATTAATAGGGATTTTAGGATTGTTCTGTTTGCTGTTTCCTGTTTGCAATGAATGGAACCCTTACCTGAACTTTAGGTATCCCTCACCAACAAACATTATCGTACAATACCCATTGACCATAGTTATATATGCGTAACAACGTAAGCACTCACGTCCAAATAAAACTTTATATCATCATGTCGTTAATATTTGTTACCATTCTTTCGTAATCTCTAAAAAATTCATTTAGTCACACATTTTCACATCTAACTCACTATTTTTTTAGAAGACAAAAATAACATTTTTTTTTCATAACTTCAATTTAAAATGTAATTCATGATGTTATAACATGCTAGCAAAAATGTTCACAAATTTAATATTTTAATTTTTTTTATTTATATTATTTCAATAAAATTATTTATAAATGATACAAAATCAAAGATTAAAATATAAAAAAATAAGTGATATTATATTTTGAATGAGAATATCTCAATTTTATATTTATTATATAATAATATTATTAGATCAATTTTTATCTTTTTAAAATCTTAATCTTAATCTGTTATTTATTTAAGTAAGAATATATATATATATATATATATATATATATATATATAAATTAGATTTAACTTTTACTATTGCTAAGTATAATAAAATATATAATCATACATTATATGGATGACGAAGTAAGACGAGGCTTGACCAAAATTATTCTGCTTAGACAAAGTGTAAGAAGATTGAAAACATGCGTAGCAGGAAGAGAAATAAAAAGAGACAAATCACGTCATGTAGTTTGTGTCATTTTCTAATTTTTCTTCCATGTTATCAATGAACTTTTTAACAAATTGAATTTGATTTATTTGTTGAGCTCATCCTTGACAAATGGGATTCTAATATTTGATTTTTGTTTTCAATGGGTACTATTCCATTCAATCTTGCCACCTATTTTCGGGTAACAGTTAGTTTCATGTACCCAAATGTGGCCTTCACTCTCCTCTGTTTCTTGCAATCACCAACTCCACTGCACCACCATTTTTGACAATTTGGCTCAAATAATTTTCTAATTGAAAGCGATGATTTGAATTTTGGATCAAACGTTTTTTTTAATAAGATAGTTTTTACTTCTCAATTCTCACTTGCAAACAAGACACGCAAAAAAAAAAAAAAAAACAAATTTAATCGGAATTGTAACCCTTAATTTATGTTTTCTCAATTAATAAATATGCTTTCAAGGAGGTTTAATTTTCTTTATTTGATATATCATTTGGGTCACCCATAATGTAAGATTATACATAGTATATACCAAATATGGGCTTCCTAGTTAGGTCCAATATAAGTTCTTTAAATGTCAATTAATACTCAACAATATTGTTGTAAGAATAATAATTTAATTTAACTTAATTTATACTATAATTAATTCTAAAATAGATATTAACAAACATGACTCCTCATCTTAAATTACATGTTTTTTTTATAGGAAGTGATGGTCTATTTGATATCATTACTTATTTCTTATATAAAAAAAATCTAATAGAATAGTTTTTTTTAAAGGAATAACTCTTATGATATTTCATTCTAAATTAAAATTTGAATATAAATGGAATAGAATTGTCTACAAGTATTTAATTGTGAAGTCATAGGAAGAGCATGAACAACACCATTAATTCTGTCTCCTACCAAAACTCACTTGGGAGATTTGCTCTACATATCTTTCAAGGATAACATAAGATTATCAGCCACTACTTTATAATTACTGTCCACACTGACATTCTTATATCCAATTTGAATTGCACTCTTTAATACATATTTTCTTTGTCTTTACTAATTATTCCATCTTCTTATATTATTAGGAACAATTAGTGCTTGGATTACAAGTTTATGTTAAAGAACTGTTTCCAATCTTCCAATTTCATCACAAAAGTATATTAATTTAAGATTAAACTTAAGCTTTTTGCAAAGGTTTGTTTTTACAAAAATAATTTTTTTGATAAAATTTTAATATATAAACATATTTTTAAGGGCAACTCGATACTGAATATACTGTTGAAACTAAATTCAAAATCTCCATTGAAAATATCAAACATAAGTGTCTTATTTTTTATTTTATTTTTCAGAAAACTAAACAAAAGCCTAATCACTTGTTCCTTTGTCATAAATTATTAGTACATTTTTTTATATCTCCTTACATCAATAAAGAGAAACAAACATTTGACCAGACGCAACCCCATTTTTCTAAATAAAGGTGGTATAATAAAAGGATTGAAAAAGAAAAAAATAGTGTGCAAGCATAATTTTCCATAAAAAGTGTGTGCAGTTTATTCTATTTCAAAAACTCTACTTTCATGTCCTATACTCCTTTAATACCATGAGCCATTTAAATAAATTTCCACACATGCCTACCTGCCACAATAATCCTTTTTTCCCATATTGTTGGGGTTTAGGACTTTCCTTGGGTATGGTGCAGGAATTTATTGAGGGTAACTCTGACATGAATAATGGAATGCTTAGGGATATAGTTAATTGTGTTTTCTTTTGTTTCATTTTAGTAAAATTTACCAATGCTTGTGGTCCTAAAATGGATGATGCATTTAAGAAATAAATAATATAATTATATTATATTCTTCCCTAAGGTAAAACCTGAGATATTAATCCAAGAAACAAAAGTAAACATGTTTAAGTGTGGGTTGCAGTATTTGGATTTTCTGAATATTTGACATTGAGAATTGTATTTGTCATTGCTGGAACTATTACTATTCTTATGATCACTTGAAAGTTTGTTAGGATTCTTGTTGATATTATCTAAATATTCTAGTTCTTGTTTAAATATTTAATGGATCATTAAGATTTTTGCTTTTTATTTGTGGGATTTAAGTATATGAGAAATAATTCTCATTGCCAATCTTTGATGACAAAACAAAAAAAGAAAAAGAAAAAAGAGATGGATATAACAAATCAAATTTGAAAAGAAAAAAAAAACGAAAGATATGATGCAGATGTGGGGGATTGGACGTGTGAAAACTATTACAGAGAACGTGTGAAGGCTCAATATTTGAAAAGTGTTCGGAGATTCACACCGAACATTGCAAGCTTACAGCCATGTTAGCTGTGGTCTATATTTTCCAGCAAAATTTTTTAATTCTACCTTGAGGATATGCCAGTGGAATTTACTTGTCCTCTTCTCTAACTGTAACAAATGATGAGGCAAAAGAACTTTCAGAACTGATGCTTTGGAAGATATCTTAATGGTATCTCCATACTGGATGATATGATTGATACGAGAACTATCAATATATATCACACATTTTTTACAAGTTCAGCACCAATTATGTTCGATGAATCCATGCATAAAATCTGAGGCTCCCTTATCATGTACTAGAGATCCCGAGATAAAATTGGCATTGGAAATCCATCTGCTGAATGCATTGCAGAAGTTGAAGCAGCAGCTGTTGAAACTCGTAGACCACTTGATCTGCCGTTAACAAGAGGGGAACCTGGCTTGTCATTCTCTTTGTTTCTGCAAAATACATGCTTAGTTGCTTGATTCTTTACATATAATTGATGCTCTCATTTGAAATTAACAAAATGTATGAGTTGAAGAGTTTTAATTTCTCCCAGGTAAACATATAATTGATGCTCTCATTTGAAATTAACAAAATGTATGAGTTGAAGAGTTTTAATTTCTCCCAGGAAAGATTTTACCTGAAGGAAACCTGAAAGTGATGCAGGACATGGATGTGCAACTAAGATATCATTGAGAGCATAAGTTGACAAGGGTAGGGCGTTAACAGATATCATCATCCTTGTTAACTTGGACGGAAGAACTTGACCTTCAAGTATACCATCAAAAACCTGAAATAATTTTAGAAACTAGATAGATGAAATATTACACTGAAAGCAACAAAACTCAAAGATAAAAATAATTTCTAATTCCTAATTTTAACAAAACGTTCTGCCTAATATGAATTTTTTTGGCCAGAAATAAGCATTTGAAGCTGAACAATTATCCAAAATTTGAACAGTCACAAAATACAGGGCAACATATTATTAACAAGAAAACTTAACAGTAAATGACCAATTTCGTCCTTGAATTCATGGTATTGTCAATTTAGCTTTGAGCAGTAAGTCACAGTATAATGATTAAATTGATTTCACAGAGTAATTGTGGTTCAGCATAATGATAAATTAGCAACGTTGTCATCAAATTTGAACATTCAAGTTACTGGATAATAAATCTTCATTCCACAGAAGCTTGCTGCCACACCTCGAGTAGCAAGGAAAAGAAATGATTACTGCTAATCTTTCCTGTATAGGTAGGGAAAAGCTAAGCTTACTTGTTCAAAGTTTTCAATAGTAGCAGCACAAAAATGGGCTGTGCTTCTGGTAACATCAAATTCACTGCCGAACAGCTCCACTTCACCTATTGCAAATGGAATTTGATCAAACAGGCCACCTGGTCAGGTTGGTTCTTTATTGGCATAATTCAAAAGATGATCAAATAAAATATATGAACATTTAAGCTAATGTATCTGTTAAGATTCCAACATGAAACCAATTGGCAATATGTGGAGTAGCCTAACATATATTTAAACCATACCAAATGATATGAGGTAGGCGATGTGGGACTTTTAACACACCTCCTCCAACGAAGTCTGTCCAACCAGACAAAGGGTACTTTTGACCCAACTAAAGGGCGACTTTTGGCCCATGACAATAACCGGAAAAATGTTAGACTTTGACTCTGATACCATGTTAAGGTTCCAACATAAAACCAATTGGCAATATGTGGAGTAGCCTAACATGTATTTAAATCATACCAAATGATATGAGGTAGGCGATGTGGGACTTTCAACAGTATCAATATCAAAACCAAAACTACACACCTCATCAATCTAGGGTCAGAATTCACTCCAGGAACAGGAATTTTGTCATCCAATGAATGACTAGTCTGTAGAAGAGTTCCATCACCACCAACTGTAATGTAACAACTAGATCCACATCATTGATGGGCTGGGACAAATTGTTACGCAGTACAGCTTTCATTCAACTGACTTTTTTTGCAGAATAGCTTGATAAAAGTTTATTGCATCATGGTGTATCTTACGCCCATTCTCCAAGAACTGTAAGATCTGCAATTTTTCTAACAGAATTTAAATTTCAAATTACACTAAAAAGAACTACAATTATGCATGACTTCCAAGTAAGCCAAAAGTCGTGGAAGCACCCCTTATTAAATAAAGGTGAAAGACATCAAGGGTTGAGTTTCTGGATACTTCCACAGGCATCAAAGCACAAACATCAGCTTATTAGTATCAAATCCTTTCTTCATTACATACGGTGTACCGAGTTAGAACACTTCTTATGGTAAGAAAGGTGAACTATAAATCTGAGTCATACAGCCAGACAAGAATGGTTAAGATTAAAAGTTAGTGGTTACATGATCACATAAAAAAGTCATATGCATTTTTCTTTTAATCTTAACTTTTCAAATATGGTCTAATATTCTACATTTATAGTTATAATTTCTCCCAATAAGAAGAATCTTATTGTTAAATGGTCAAAACTTAACTCTTTTAACAAGAGCAACACCTAATAAAACACTTCACACACAAAAAAGGAGTTACTTTTATGTTTCTAGTTCTTTTGTAAGAAACTAAATTACTACCCCATCTTTTTACCACCACAAACAAGCACGCATAAAGAAACGTTGAGCATTCAACTAAAGGTTTTCTAGGTTAAAATGATGGTGGGCAGATGGGAAATGGCAATGTAACAGGAAAGTACACAAAAATGCTGGACCTCTTTCATTTACCATCTACCCATTTTAGAATATAAGTTTCCAACCAAGCATAGCCAAACAAACAAAACCCACATTGACATTTCATCAAGCAATACGCGTGCATATGGGAAAGTGTTGGAACCAACCCTTCAACCATGGTTTCTGATATTATAAAAATCAGCAACAGCCGTTAAGCTGTTGAGCTGAATTAGTTGTTGGTAGTTAGCTTCTGACCAGAGACCATTCATTTTTTGTACATCGACATATTCCTGTAAATCTTTCTCTAATACAGTTTCCAGAACCTTTTCTCTAATACAGTTTTCAGAACCTTTTCTTTCAGTAGGTTTCTTTTTTAGAGATAAATAAATAATAGCAAGTTAGATGGTAAATAAGTAAAATAAAATCAGTTTCTAATAATATCAGTTTTAAAAAGATTTTTTACCTCCACTTATTTAAAGATCCTATGTACTCTATTTTTTTTGTCCATTAAAAAATAGTGAACTTAGGACGAGAATTTAAGTAAACTTTCTTATTATCTCATTTTATTTAGTTAATTTATAAAGGAAACATTGAAGCCATTAAAAAATATTTGTATTAATAAGATACTTATATTCTTTCTATGTAGTTGTTAAAAAGTTATTATGATTTTACACGTAAAATTTATGATGTATGATAATTTTTTCTAATTTTATATGTAAAATTTAGGAACGTTGTTTATAAAATTTGAAGATTATAGGAATTTTATTTTATTTTAAAATTAATATATATATATATATATATATATATATATATATATATATATATATATATAATTTTGATGGGCATAATTGCTTTTGATATGGAAATATTTTCTTGCACCAATTTTGTTATGTGTTTTCTTTCTTAATTGATAGGAGAGATGAAACTAATATTTGATTTCCAGCCTCTCTTTTCATTCTTTCGAAATACTATATATAGCCATGCAAATCCAAATTAGTTACAATTAAATGACTCTCCTCGTTGTAGGCAAAAGGAATTTACGAAACAGAAATAACAATCTACTAATTTTAGTAACTAAATTATTCTATGCAAAGAAATAGCGTGACTTGACACTTCTAGAAACATACTGACATAGTAAGCTCTATGGGATGTAATCATTCAGATAGGCTGATGTGGTAGTAATCCTTTTGGGCATTACATTAGTCAAATGGGTTGTGATATGATTGCTAACAATGTCTGCCTCTGGAAAAATCACCTTGTCCTTAAGGTGATAATCGGAATTGAGCTGTGCCCATTTTTCCCAACTAGTATATGTTGGAAAAACAATAATAATAATAATAATAATTTTAATTTTAATTTTGATTCTAACTATCAAACATAAACATAATCCTATACTGATTAACATGCTGTAAACTGAATGCAAAAGCGTACCTGAATGCGAAAGCATACCTGAATTAGCCATAACGATGATGTCTTTGTAGAACACTATATTGATCTTATGATCTTCCACCTGAAGAGCACCTGTATTTCCCTCTTGATTTTCTCTCTTGATGGGGATAGAAAGAAAGGAATGAGACTGATTCTGTCTGTGTGCTCCCAGAAGGGGACCATGACCCTTTAGATAACCAGAATTAGGTTAATTACTTAAGTTTTAGTATTTCCAATTTGGCCCCTCATCAAATTAGAAATTGCTCTATGGTCTCTACACAATTTTATTTTCATGACATATGCCTTTAGCCAAAACTTTAATTTAGTCAGATCACTTTATTATTTGGCTTAATAAATAATGACCCTAACACATTTAAATTATGTATCATATATATACATGACCCAAATTTTGCCAACAATCTCCCACTGGTCACAAATATATATGTCCTTACAACCTTACAAATGTGTTAGACTTTATGAGCTCAAAATTGCCATTATATTCCTTTAGCATACTCTAAAAGTCCTGTCCATTAATCATATCAAGATATAAAACTAAACCAGTTTTTCATTGCATCATCGCAACTAAAACCAACAATGATTACTCATCCTAACATAACAAAATGACATGGATTCATCATGAAATGTGTAGCATGAAAAATTACGTGAAAGTGATCTGTACACGTCTATTTTCAACTGGTCCAAACTTTAACTTATTGAGATCGATATAATATTCTTAATGTACAAAGTGTAATGAATAAACGAAAAAACCGCATATCTATAGATAACCAAATATGTCCAAAAGACAATGTATACATATATGAAATTAAACATAGAACATAAAATATATGAAAGTGACTAACTCCCACTAAACCACAAATTCCTCAAACTGTAAAACACCCATGTGAGCAAAATGCTCATGAAAGACCTTGGGCGGAAGTCCTTTAGTCAGAGGATCTGGTATCATGGAGTTTGTCCTTAAGTGTTCTATGAAAATCTGTCAACTTTGTACTCTTTCCTTAACAATACAGCTGATTTATTGTCACAATATAACTTAGGTGGTCTTTCAATGTCTTTCACAATTTGCAGCCCTGTGACAAAATTTCTCAGCCATATTCCATGATTTGATGCCTCATAGCATGTTACAAATTCTTGACATCCTACAAAATCTGAGTCAGAAAACCCAGCGATCTCTAACTGGTCTGACCTCCTATATGTGAGCATATAATCTTTTGTTCTCTTTAAATATCTTATGACCCTTTTTGCTGCTTTTCAATGGTCTATTCCTGGAATGCTTAAATATCTGCCTAGAACCCCAACTATGTATGTTATGTCTAGACGCATACATACTTGGGCATACATCAAACTCCCTACAGCTGATGCATAGGGAATCTTTTGCATTTCCTCAATTTCCAAATTCCCCTTTGGGCACTGATTGAGACTAAACTTGTCTCCCTTTAAACTTGTGATACACACAATCATCAACAATATTCATCTTGAAGTCAAATGAGTTTCATACCTTCTGGTAATGGGACAAGTTCCCAATAACCTTATTGTCTTGCATGGACTTATACTTTTCATTCATTGCTTCAATCCACTTTTGAGAGTTAGAACCTTGTATAGCTTGACGGAAGTTAACTGGGTCATCTTCCATTATATCATTATTTTCCTCATGTTCCTGAAGAAATACCATGTAATCATCCGAAATAGCACTTCTTCTTTCTCTAGTGGATCTCTGCAAAGTTATTAGCTCATGATGCACAGGTTCTTGAGGATCTTGAGTTTGTTCTTCATGAACAACCAAATCATCTTGAGTGAGGGGTTCATCAACAATGCCTTGTGGAGGTTCCGAACTTACTTTATCGAAAGTAACTATTTGAATCAGTTCTAGAATTGTTACCGATTCTTCCTCCAAGACAAAGTTCCTGATTTTATTCTTCCCCCCAAACTCAATATCCTCAAAGAACGTAGCAGTTCCCGTCTCAAAAATTGTCTTTAATGTGGGATCATAAAATTTATATCCCTTGGATCTTTCAGCATAACCAATAAAATAACTACTTACTGTTCAGGAGTCCAATTTCTTTTCATTTGTCTTATAAGGCCTTGCCTCAGCTGGACAATCCCACACATGGAAATGCTTCAGACTAGGCTGTCGCCTAGTCCAAAGCTCATAAGATGTTTTGGTAGCTGCTTTAGTTGGTACTCTGTTTAGAATATAAGCTGTCATATTTAGTGTCTCTCCCTAAAGTGATTCTAGTAAGGTGGAATGACAAATCATACTTTCTACCATATCTTTAAGAGTGTAACACAAGCCCAAACGTCACAATTTGATGTTACCTGAGCACTTGTGCCATAATACACTTGAGTGAGTATTTTCAATTTTACGTTTAGTACCACATGATTCTGTATTAAGGGTTTCATTATAGGTGGCCACAATATCAAGTAAATACTGATTATCATAAATCAAAAGTGAACCAGTTCCAACAATATCTTAATTAAAAGACAAAATGAACTTATTGTTTTCAAATGAACACAAATAACCTAATTTGTCCAAATAAGAAACTGAAACCAAATTCCGTCTAAATGACGGCATAACAAAAGTGTCTTTCAAATCCAAATAAAAAATTAGTACTTAATAACAATTTAAAATGCCCTATAGCTTCCACCTCTACCGATTTTCCATCTCTAACATAAATCCATCTTTCAGAATCAATTGACTTCCGGTAGTTTAGGCAACCCTTTCTTTTCACGTCAAACATGATATTTAGCACATTTCTTCTTTACGTGTCCAGTCTTATTGCAAAACAAACATTTGTTTTCTTGAGTTTGTTTCTTTTGTTCTGGACCCTTAGCACCTTCTTTCTCGAGATCCTCTAATCTCTTTCTTTTGCCCTTAGCCTTGGAGGTGCTTGCAAAATGAGCACTTTCTGTCTTGTCTTGCTTTAATCTTTCCTCTTCTTGTACGCAATGTGAAATGAGCTCATTAAGAGACCATTTATCCTTCTGACAGTTGTAAGATACCTTAAATTGATTAAACGTTGCAGGAAGAGAAATCAACACCAAATGAATGAGCAAGTCTTCTGAGAGTTCAAGCTTTAGTGCCTTGAGTTTAAAAACAATATTAGACATGCTCATAATGTACTCCCTGATATTTCCTTTGCCTTGATATTTCATGGAGATCAAGTTCTGAAGAAGAGTGCTTGCCTCCACCTTATCGCTTTTTGCAAAGCGCTGCTCAATTTCAGCAAGGAATTCTTTGGCACTTGTGATGTTTTCAGAAACAGTGCCCCTAAACACCTCCGGGATGTCATGCTTAATGATCATTAGACTCATGCGATTTGAGCGATCCCACTTCTCAAAATCTCTTTTCTGTTCAGAGGTACTTGAATCCGTAGGAGTAGGGGGTTGCTCAGTCCTTAACGCAAGATCCATATCCATGCAACCAAGAACAATATCAATGTTCTCTTTCCAGTCCTTAAAATTTGTTCCATTGAGGACCGGAACAAAATTTAAATTGGCAGATACAGAAACAATTGTAGCTGAATTTAGAACACGAGAAATAAACTAATTATGCTCACATTATATAAAAAATAAATAATATATATTCAAATAGTGGTTTAACCCATCTCAAGACACCCAATGCACCATCAATATCAAGTCTTTGGACAGTAATATTAACTGCTAGAGGTATCTTGTTGTAATAATCAAACATTGACAATA